TAAATGATTTTTTATCAATACCTTGGCTATCATAGATAATTGAACAGGAAATCTGTTCTCTGGATTCACAGATTTGGGAGTGTGGACAGGCTTAGAATTACTGACTGAAGGAAGAGCAGTAAAGTCCTTGTAAGAAGTCCTGTATTCTTTTTTCTGTCTGATCCTTGGCAAGAAAGGAACACTAAACCATTGCTTTCTCTGAGAAATGGGTCTAACATCTGTTCCATTTACCTCACAGGTTTGTTCTCAAAAGTTCTTTAATCTACATAGAAATATACAAATAAAAATATTATAATTGCTGTTAAAGTATTTGAAGAAATTCATGTAGACATGTAGACATTCATAAAGACATGATCTTTATGGTCCAAAGAAAAACTAGATTTGTTATCTAACAAATGAAAATAATTAAGTTGCAGAAAAATCCAATTATAAATCCTTTCCAAATTCATTAGATTTAAAATTTACATTGCAATGAGCTCGCTGGGTAAGGCACTGATTGAAATCACTGCTATATAAAATGGTTCATTCAGTTCTTCTTTGGGATGCAAATTCAAGTTTAGCAAAGAGTAAGCACACTTTGAAAATTAAATAATGTTGACATTCTAGGAGATGATTAAGAGAATGAAGAAACCACAAACCAAAAATGTTCTGATATGATCATATTGATTTCCCCAAAAATGAATGATTAAAAAATAAAATTTGAATTGTAAGTCAATTATGAACTTTTGAACTCAGGTATCATTTTAAAAGGAATGTAATATTCAATAAAAAGCAACAGTACAGGTAAAGACAGCTTTCAGTTTTGGAGAAACACAAATTCTACCTGTTAACCCGCTTCTGGCACCAACTTAGGCAAGTCCTGCCTTGAATACTAATCAAATGGAAATAACCTTAACATTCTAATGTAAACCTTTTCTTTAAAAACTGACAAGGAAACAATTCTTCTAACAGACTTCTGGAGGTCAGAACTAATCTTAAAGAACTGATCTTTTACTGGATGCCTATGACAGCAAGCGTTGCTTTTTTAAATCAGAATGGTGAAAGACCTGTATTTCTGGTTATTTCTCTGGACAATGATCACAGATTGTGCGCTGGCAGAGAGGCATATCCCACATTGAGTAAGAAAGTTTTCAACAAGGAAAGGCATTACACTTCCCAGTTTCTTATAAGAAACAAAATAGCAAGAGTTATTTCCATACTGCATACTCTGGTATTTTCGTAAATCCCAGTGTTGGGGAACAATTATAAGGTAAGAATATTTGTGTAAAATATAAAACTTATAGACACTTTATGATCAATTACAAGTCTCTGACCAAGTTTCTGTTCTGCTGTTTCTGCTAAATTCAATTGACCTTGACAGCGTCTACAGCCCGGCTGCACCTCTGATGAGCAGAGTCAGAGTAGCTGTCTATACCTTAAGGCACCTGGGCTAATTCAAGCGCCCTGTCCCCAGAATGTTCCTATATTATGGTAATTCCCTTATCCACACTCACTCTGTAAGGGCCCTCTCCCCTTGTTCCTGGAATGTTTCTATTGTTTCAAGGCTAGCCTGCCTGCCAAAATATGACTGGATGTATGTAACCAGCCATATAACATTTTCTCACTTGCTTTGTACCTCCCAATTCTAAACTGTATATAAACTGGACTTTTCCTAAATTCAGTGCTGTTGCCTTTGTAGAATTATCCTGCAACAGTTCCCCTGCCTTCTTATCTCCTCGGTGCAGAGTCTTCCTTTTGGTTTTGCTTGGCTTGGGAATTTTCCTGCAACTCCGGTATTTCTTACAAATTTTGAATCTAGTTTTTGATAGTAACTTGGTTGGTTCTCACAGAGTAAGACTGAACGTGTCTGTAACTGTGCAGCACAACAGAGGTTAACACAATTGATTTCCTGCTCACATTTATTGGGGCCAGAGAGACTAAAACAGTTATTTTCCTTTCAAAGAACTGGAAAAATATAATACAATAGCAATTTTTTAAGTACATAACAAAACATCCTGGATCATGAATCAACATGAGATGTAAAAGCTCAGAGATATCAACGCTGACAGCTTTATAAAATGTCGTTCATCTAAGGCATTTCTGAAATAGTCCTTGAAACTACACATATGTACATGATTCTATACACATAAAGGCATCTATTCATGAACAGAAAGAAAGTCTTTTAGAAGCACTGTGAACAGAAAGCTAAAGAAATACAAACATAGATCCTGAATATTTTTAAAGAGAAAATTTAGGTTCTAAGAAACAGTGATTTACATTCAAATAAACATGTAGATTTTTCAAACCTGGATAGATAACATTTTTGTGATGCAGACAACAAGAAAATTCACACTGTGAATTATTTGTTTTTCAAAGGCCACTTTCAAAGTACAGATTTCAAGTCCAAAGCAAATACCCACGGCATGAACAAATAAGATGCCTAAGATTCTAACATCTGCGTCCATATGGCTCTCCTCCTCACTTCCATATCTAAGAGCAAGAGAAAAATTCCTAGAAAAGGCAGTGGCTATATTTGTACCATTTTATCTGACCATGTCTGGATAGTGGGTTTTTACACCAGATTACAGCTTAGTCTATTTAAAAATTCTATTTCAAATAGACTAAACACTCCAAACTCAAAAAGATTTTGTTTCAACATCAAGCCTTACGTAGACCCATGCTCATTTTAAAACACAAAGAGGATCTCTAGGAAACAATAAAGGTAAGCGAGGAAGAAACAAGGTTAAACTCTGTCACTGGCCCTTTATCCAAGATGAAAACTTCAACCTCCAACATTAAAGTTGTCTGCTCTTTCCACTGTAAAAGAAGTCTCTAGTTTGGCTCGCATCACCCACTTTGAGGTACCAGAGATAAGTCTGGGTTCAATGTACCAACCTGTTTCTGTTACTCCTGACAACTCACGCACACTGTTACTTAAGGTGGAAGTCACCATTTTTTCAGGCACTTTACATCACTAAAAAATTAAATCTAGTTACTTAAAATCAGTTTGACAAACATTCCTTATCCCTAGCCCTGCCCTGTCCACCCCCAAAAGGTAGCTAATTCTGTTATAAAATCTCTACGAGAAGACAATTCTTTTAGTTTTGCCAAGAAAACAACATAGACATTTTTTTCCACTTTTCCTCTTTCATGAACTCTTCCTCTGAGATCACAGAATTTCAGTTACTTGAAATCTGCCCCTGTTTAAAAAGCCTTTGTGGAGCCATGCTCAGAGTTTACTAATCGAAGAGCGCATTGCCACCTCTGACATTCTTGGTACAAAAATTCAGTTTCAGCAGAGTTCCTGTGATTCCCCTGAGCAGTGATAAATGCCCTTTATCATGAGGAAATGGGCTATGTGTAAAACAAAGCAAATTAGCTATTCAAATATATGTACATTTATGATTATGCTTTAATATGAAATACGTGATGGGAGAGGGGTTTTTTCTTTCTGAAGTGTTTAGAGATTTGAAGGGAAACAAAGTCACTCACCATTGACAAGTTTCTAATAAAGGATTAAAAAATAATTTTGGATGGTTCATTCAAGTTTTCCCAGAGTTCTCATCTATATTCTACATAAATGGTAAATAAAAAAGTACATGACCAATGAATGCACTATACATGTACCAGGTAACATTATACACATGTGAATTAAAATTCCTTAAATATGTACATCCCCACTTAGGATACATTCTACTACATAGACAAATCTTCACCCTTCAGTCCAGAGAGCAGCAACTCAATAATCTAGTTACCCAGTTACCTCAGAAGATATGCTAGGTCCTGAATATTTCCTGACATGGTATCCCTGTCTTGCAGGAGAGGTCTCCATTAACATTTGTGTAGTTCTTGTGAAGCACCAGGCTGCAATGCTAATGGCAACTATCTACACACTGGAGAAACGTGTGTTATCCTTTCAAACCCAGTTATACAAACCTGACTGATAGTAAAATGGGAAACGTAAGTCACAATAGGGTGATATCAATCCAAACTATTTGAAATATATAAAATATTTCCATTTAATTTCCTATTTATCTTTTTATGGTCTCATCAGTGCCTTGTATACACAGAAAGTATTCACATTGTCCTACTGGACATAGAAAAAATATGCTAAATTATGTTGAGAAGAAAGCTGCTCTGAACTATTTGAAAATATGCAAATATCTTACTTATCAATTAGGGTTTTTACAGAGATAGTACACTACCATAGTAAGTTTCATTTTGAAAGAGTTCTTTCTGAGTCTATGTCCTTAAGTAAATTATGAGCTTGCAACCAAAATTCACACATACAGTATGCAAAGGCTATTGGGTTGATTGATGATAAACCATTTTAGTCACCGAAAGAATAACTTTCAGGTAAGAATTCATTGTGTGTCTCCTATTGGGTATGCCAATGCATGCCCAGTGGAGAAATTCTAGGTAAGCTGCAAGTCGTATTGGATTCTAGCTGTACAGATAGACTTTAACATTGATCCTTGATGTATACTGTTAGATCCAATTCCAAATCAGCTGGTTGTATGAACACAGAGCTCAAGAAAGGTCCCTGCCATCTAGGATGAAGGTTTTGAACCTCTCCTACTCTAACCTTTATTTCATATATGATAATTTTGTAGACCACAGCTACCGTCTGAAAGAGATGCGTTGATCACCTTAGAAAGTAACATTTGCGAAAGGACAGACACTGAATCAGACCACGCAGTTTTGCATGCTGCAACCCTTTTACTGGGAAAGGCAACTCCCTCTGCACAGCAGTTTTTCCCACTTGAAGCTGAGATCACACGAGGAGAAACCTATTGTGTTTCTGCCAAGTCACTGTGGGAAAGGTAGGAACAGCACACCCAGTAACTGGCAGAGGCACAACCAACATATCGACTTTTAAAATAAGCAGCCTGCTTTATAGTATAACTCTCATGAGAATTTCTCTTTCCGTACTCGTACCCTTCCCTCCCACAGTGGGTTTCCCCTCCCATATGTTTCTCACTGTGGCAAATCAACACAGAACACATCTTCGTCTCGGCATGTATGCTGTCAATCATAAAAGCACATTTATTATAGTAAACGTTCACTTAGGCCCTTGAATTAACACTAACAGTCCAGTGGGATCCTTTGAATGGTGAAATGATGATGTACTAATTCCTCCTAAGCAACCCCAAAGCTCCCGACATGCTCCATAGACACAGCCTGGATGCAGAGCCCAGTTCTTGTTACATGGGAACACTTGCACCCAGGACTTTCCCTTTCCCAATCCAGCACAGACAAAGGCTTGCAGGCAAGTTCAAGGTCTGGACACAGAGGCACTTCCAAAGTTTGGCAAGGAAAAGGAGGCAGCGTCACTAAGTGGGGCTTTGTCGTGTGCTGTCTCACAGAATCCAGACATCTGTGGCACGGGAATACAAACAGAGTGCTTTACGTTGTGGATGGGTCGTGCTTCTTCTTCTTGCCCCGACAGGATTTGCAGACACAACAGATGATACACGGAGAGGCCAGAAGTAACAAGGGCGAAGTCACCAAGGCAATGATACCTAGTCCTACAAGGATCCCCACCACCTGGAAATCAAAAATAAAACAATGTCAGCAGTTACACTTTCCTATAGGTATACGCATTCCAATGCACACTATATGGAAACCCTAACCCCCAAAGCAACAGACTTTGCTAATGAGGCTTTTGGGAATTAACTAGACTCTGAAGATGGGGCCCTCAGGATAAGATTAGTGCCCTTATGGAAAAGATAGACCACAGGAAAAAAAAGTGATTGTAATCCAGCATGCACAATGTATCTAAAAGTGTACCTTCATTTAGCATAATTATCTTATGTGTTTTTTAAATATGTTTTGGCTATTAATCTACATTTATGATAATTAGCTTGCTAAGAAGTTATAAAATAAATAAATGAGTCTGATGCTGATGAAAAAAAGTTTTAAGGGGCGGGGGAAGGGAAAACATAAAGAATTGAGAAATGTGACACACATGTACTGATTCCTCACAATGAATACAAGTCATTTCGGACTGCAGACATGTACCAACAGAATGTTTCTCATTTTTAAAAAAGAATTAGTGTCTTTATAAAAAGAGACACCAAAGAGTTTCCTTTCCTTCCTTTGGCTCTCTTTCCTTTAGGACACAGCAAGGAAATGGCTATCTGTGAACCAGAAGAGTCCTCGCCAGGCCCTGACCACGCCACCACCATACCCCTCAGACCCCAGAACTGTAAGAAATAAATGCTTATTGTTTACGCCAATCTGTCTATGATCATTTGTTATAACAATCCAAATGACTGAGACATGGTCTTGGGCACACAGGACAGCTACATTTACAGGATATTTTAGTGAATGTTGTGTCATGATGTGAACTGGATACAAACAACAAAGATAAAAAGGATTAAACCAAAAGTGAGGACACATGAAATGCTAATTCAAGCTTGGCAGCAAGCTCAGTGGAACTGTAAACTATTAGTGTTGGCTCATTCTCTACCTGAGTTTCCACAACAGTCTCATACTGATGCTAATGATGAGTACTAGGATATTAGCATGGGCTTCCTCAAAAGAAAGACAGCCTTTGATAGCTGTGAAACACTATTAAAAGTAAACCATGAATCCCTTTGGACCTACCACATAAACACACAATGACATGTACAAAGGAAGCTAAGCCCCAGCATGGGCTCACTGTATTTTAGAGCTCTGCCTTTGATAGCTACTATGCTTTCAAGGGTTGTTAAAAAGTACTTTCAAGAGGGAAGAACATCTGCATTCATCCTGCAGGTCACTGTCAATTGCTTGGCTGCCTGGTCCTCCTGACCCTCCACTTGTCCTCAAAGAGACCCTGAGCATGAATTGTCTTTCTCCTAGTCCCATCCCAGTACTCTCAGAACTTTGCAGGCTGGCACAGGTAGATGGGGAATAAAATGGGGAAAGAGGTTGGCTCTTTAAGCATGTCATCACAAGTCTGGTTTATCTCACATTCCCTTAAGGTCACCTGTGTTCGGTTCCACATCACTGATGCTCTCGAGTGGCCAAGTTTATTCCTGCATGGCCCTTTGTCGTAATGTCTGAGGAAAATGTCATTCTGAAAAATAAAAGGAGGACTCAGTAAACATGCAGCTTCGAATTGAAAGATGACTATAAACCACATCAATCACCTCGTAATATTAATAACATCCTCTAGGAATTCCCCAGCAATCTTTAGCATATTTTGAAAATTTTGTAAATCACCAAGTGAAAACAGATCACACTCAATGAGATTTTTGATTGATTGTAAGAAAAATAAAATAAAGACTGATGAATTTTCTTAGAAAGGTGATTATAGCCTCCTGCAGAGATACAAGATGGAATGGGAGTGAGTTATCTTAAAGGCTACTGCTGCAAACCAGGTAAGAGCAATGTCAGAGAAAGGACTGAGGCCAGGATGGAGAAGTCCTAAAATATTAAAAAGGTTACTACAGTAATGGGTGGAAAAACAAGAAAAGAAAGTCAGAGATAAGGGGAACGCTGCTGTAAGGCAGTAGATATGTCAAGAGAATAAGCAACTTTGAGATGGATTTGGAGGGGATGATAACCATGGTTTGGACATGTTAAACTTGACAAATAGTAGAGACATTCAAGTGAGTATTATTCACAGGGAAGTTCATTATAAAGATCTGGATTTTGGAAAAAGAGATTTGGACATCACTGTACGTGGGGTAGAAGAAATCACACAAGTCCATGAGATAGTTGGAGGGATGTGTGGACTCAGGATAACAGAGGCTGCTAACGTGCTTAAGGACGGGTCAAGCAAGGACCTGAGACATGGACAGAAAGGTTGATGGAAAATCAGCAGAGATGGTAACCAAAGTGGAGGTGGCCAGAATGTCACATGACGTGGACAATCTGGGAAAGATAAGGACTGAAGTTGCCACTGGATTTTATCAATAAGAAATCACTCAAAACTTTGGAAAGGATACAGCTAGGAGATGAGTACCTGGCAATCTGAATGCATTGAGATGACTAGAGTAAATAAATTTCCCAGGTATTCAGGCTTTTGTGACACTTGGAAGCTAAAGGACAGAGAGAAGTAGGGGAAGGCATGAGAAAAGGGTCACTCAAACAGCAAACAATGAAACGCATGGATGCTATTCATTCACTCATAGAGAGTGAAAGCTGAAGTTAGGGGACCTTAGAGCTAACTGAAGGGGACAAAACTCTGAGGCTATAGACAGGAGTCATTTCCAAGCAGACTATAAAGATGACCTTGGCCTCTGAAACTGCAAGGCTGAACATCAATGCAGGGACAAACTCAACGCCCCAGCAGCTCTCACAATCCATGCGGTGTCTGTCTCAGACTGTGGTTTCAGAAGGTCTCTCTTGTCCTGGCCCCATGCCTTCAACTTAACCATAAACAGAAATCAACAGCATCCCACCACATGGAACACTTGCCTGGAGAAAAGCATCATTACTGAGAAGCCAAGGCTTTTGGCTAAAAAAAGAAAAAATGAGATCCCCGAAAAAACAGCAACCAGAAAAAAGAAGCTTTAACATTTGAAATCTATATATTCTGCCATTTAACATCTGCAACATTTCATTCCAAGTAACACTGGGGGACAGGTGACAGAACAGGGTGTTCTCTGCAATCTCACTCCCCAAACATGCTTCATCCAAAGATCTGGCTACACCAGAAGGAAAACAAAATGATTTGTTTTTCATTTATAAAGCACATGGGGTGTACAACCAACAGAATCCTCATCCAGAGTTTCACTCATTTAAAATTACAATCCGTCTTAAATATCACATACACTTATAATTAAAGGAAATAGGGCAGAAAAATTTAAAGTAAAAAACATTTCCTCCATTCTGGACTTAAACTGCTAGAATCTAAAATGTCTATTTTTACCTCTTCGATTTACATTCTTTCTTAAAACACTGAAACCAAGCTGATTGAGATTCTTACTCACAGAAGTCACCCTAAACAATGTACCTAATTTTCAGTTGATAAAGCCAGGGCTGCAGTGGCCAGGAGGTAACCCGTGTCACCTGAACTCACCAAAAGGGTGAGATACATGCTGTTTGTTCAATTAAAACAAAACAAGAAACAAAAACGAAGAGCTGAGAAAAAGAATGGTGACCCACACATAAATTAGGGCTGATACTGATGTGGACACAGAAGTCCAGGACAGGGAAGACCTATGACCAACTGGCGTGACCCCAAACTTAGAAAAGCTGGAATTGAAGTAAGGCTTTTCCCCAATCCTTCCCACCAGCTGGCCCTAGAACAGGGCTGAATGCAACGACCTGAATTGGTGAAGACACGCCACGTGAATAGAAAGGAAGAGTAATAATTGGGAAGTTCTTTGATTTAGGAAGGGGACATTGATTGACAAAACAGTGACAGTACTGCTGTCATGCCAATGAACGCGAGAGTCAATCAGGAGACACTATTGAGCAGTTTTTTTCTTTCAATGCAAAAAGAGGAAAAGAATATAATTGTGGTAAACAGAGGAACTTGGACCCCAAAGATATTCATGGCCTAAGAACCTGTGGCTGCATTACTTTAAACAGCAAAGTAAAGTTGGAAAGAGTGATTAAGTTAAGGGAGATTATTCTATATATTATCCAAATGGACCCAATCTAATTACATGTGTGTAAGGGCAGAGAACTTTCCTAACATGTGGCTGAAGCAGTGGCATCTAAGGAAGAAGAATCACAGAGACGTAATATTGGTGACTTTGAAGTTGGAGGAAAGGGGGCCACCAACCCAGCAATGCAGGCAGCATCTAGAAGATGGAAAGAACGAGAGAATGGTTTCTCCCCTAGAGTACAGAAAGGAAAGCAGCCCTGCCAACACCTTGATTTTAACTCAGCAAGACCTAGGATAGACTCCTCATGTATAGAAATAGGAGGTGATAAACATGTCTCGAGCCATAAAGTTTGCAATAGTTAGCTACAGCAGCCATAGAAAACACACTAGCAGGGCTTTACATAATAAAGTAAGATTAATTCCCCCAAAGCATGAAATGCCCCTAAAACAGAAGCTTGTGTTTAAAATGAAAGTCACATGCCTAAAGCAACCAGAAAGAGGATTTATAGTTATCTGAAGTAGCAGGTTCAGGAAGCCTGATTAAGAAGACTCAATTAATTATTTGAAATGGAAGAGCCGTGGGGTCCTGGCTCTGGTGCAGATGAGGTATGGGAAAGGCCACGTGACAGCCCTCTTCCAGGGTACTCACATCCAGGTTCTGGAGGCAGTACCAGCAAAACGTGTGCTTGCAGTTCTTGCACATCATCTGAGCGCAGCCTTCATTGCGTTCGATGTAAACCCGGCAGACTGGGCATTGCTTAATGGGGGCTTCCGTGCCTGTCCCAAAGAGCGCCCTAGAAACGAAACGAGTGGAAACTGTAGTCGACTCATCGTCATCAATTGAATTCCTAGTGCTCTAGAAAGTTCCATAACCCAGTGCAGTTATCTGTACCTAATTCACTTCCCCAAGAAAAGGATGGAGGGGTCGGGGATTTGGCTCAGCATATAAGTGCCTGCCTGACAAGTGTGAGGTTGTGAGTTTGATCCTCGGTACCCCCCAAGAAAAAAGGATGGGGTAAAAACAGCAGAGACACAGACCATTAGTAGTCCAGCACACATTGCCTGAATAAGAAATACCAAGGAGTCAGTTATATCACAGAGAAACTAGTTCAGAATGCAGTGAGGGTATGCTCTATCATGTCACTGTTAACTAATTGGCAGGGTGGAACTCAGTGATCAATACTTTAACACAAATGCCATTATTGAACAGACCTGCTCCTAACAGATGAATGGGTCAGTAGAGGTGCATGGCTCAAAGGGCACAGAAAATAAGGAGCAGTGCAAACTAGGGTGGGCAGGAGCCATGGCGCTAGGTTATACCTTAGTTATGGTTCATCAAAATTACCATCAAGCACATGGACATATCTACTCTCGAGGGTTTTCAAAGACATGACCAGATTTCGTACTGAGTATAATTTTACATAGTGAGGTGACAGGCTCTATTTTAATCCCCTTATTTTTGGATCAGGAAATAGACTCACAGAGCCTAAGTATCTTTTAGGAAGACACGTAGATGTCAAATGACAAGATCAAAATACAAATTTTCCTCTCCTCATGAGCTGTTTACTTTGTCCTGTGATACCTAGGAATCCTGCTGCAGCGGCGGTAAGATTGTGGAAGGCACTGGTTTACATCTGACCATCTGGATCTGACAGCATTAAATCCTTTTCTTTTTCCTATTTGTTTTGTTTGAGACTTAAGCACAACACAGCCAGTCACAAGCCTATTCCTGAAGACTGGCTCTGCACACTCCCAGGGCACTGGGTGATTAAGCCAACTGGACTGTAATGGGCAGGAGCCATGGCGCTAGGTTATACCTTAGTTATGGTTCATCAAAATTACCATCAAGCACATGGACATATCTACTCTCGAGGGTTTTCAAAGACATGACCAGATTTCGTACTGAGTATAATTTTACATAGTGAGGTGACAGGCTCTATTTTAATCCCCTTATTTTTGGATCAGGAAATAGACTCACAGAGCCTAAGTATCTTTTAGGAAGACACGTAGATGTCAAATGACAAGGTCAAAATACAAATTTTCCTCTCCTCATGAGCTGTTTACTTTGTCCTGTGATACCTAGGAATCCTGCTGCAGCGGCGGTAAGATTGTGGAAGGCACTGGTTTACATCTGACCATCTGGATCTGACAGCATTAAATCCTTTTCTTTTTCCTATTTGTTTTGTTTGAGACTTAAGCACAACACAGCCAGTCACAAGCCTATTCCTGAAGACTGGCTCTGCACACTCCCAGGGCACTGGGTGATTAAGCCAACTGGACTGTAACACTGGTGTTTTGTTCTTGGGATGCAGAACAGCCATAGCCTCAAGCAAAGCAAGGGATCAAACACAAAGGTCTCTTACTCTGGCTCTGCTGCTGCCATAAAAACCCTGTGTACAAAAAGGGAGAGATTGAATTGCTTCTCATCATAGCAAAATCTCAATATTGGCACCATCTTTTTTGAAAATCAGGTATTAAGACTCTCTCTTCCTATATTTCTCAAGAATGTAGGACTTTTTTTGTATTGCTATGATTGGATACCCTATCAGGTGGTAATTTAATAAAACATCATTTCTGTTTCATTCTGCAAATAGGAAGACTATATTGTTTGTTTGTCTGTTTTGTTCTGGGGATCGAACTCATTACCTCACGCTTGCCAGGCAGGCACTGGTGCCACTGAGCTAAATCCCTAGCCCCAAGAATGAGATATATTGATAGTAGGCCGATTTGATAGCTAGGCAAATAGCTGTGGACAAATCCATGACTTCCTACTTGAGAACCCATAAAACACAGGATGTCTTTACCTAAACAGAAAGCAAAACTCACCCAAAGTCTAATTTCAGCAATATCTGAAAGATTCTGCTGAGACAAATAAATGAATTCCTTTTAGAATTGCTTTTTGGGGCTGGGGATTTAGTCAGTGGCTCAAGTGCTTGCCTGGTAAGCACAAGGTCACGAGTTTGATCCCTGATACCAAAAAAAAAAAAAAAAGAATGAAGGAAGGAAGGAAAGAAAGAGAGAGAAAGAAAGAGAAAGGAAGGAGGAAAAAATAAATTGCTTTTTGTCACTATTCTTTGTTAGCAAATTATCAATTCTGGCACACTTCTTTGGGAAGTTCTACAGGAAAATAATGTCTACACATTCTTGTGAGATAACTCTTCCAAAGCAACATAGGTTTGGTTTCTAAGAAAATTTGCGGCTTCAAAGACACTTTCCTCTCTTACCCATGTTCTGTGGGCAGGATAGCAGGCTGACTGTCTCTACAGGAGACTTCTGCATGCCAAGAGTCCTTGCAACATGAGCAGAATTTCAGGTGGCAAGAAGGGCACTCTACCAACACAGGCTGGCCTGGGTCACTCGAGGCAACGGGACACACGGTCTGACAGTCTGCAACCGGACACCATGTTCGATGGGGGTCCAGATGAACTTCTAAAACATAAAAAAAAATATGATAATCTATCTGCCTCCAATTCAAGCTTGAAGTTTTTCCCCCTTCACTTACCATTTTTGTGGACTAATATTTATGGAAGTATAATACAACCAAAGGTGGAAATTGTTACAATTATTCTTCATAATAGATTAATAGACTCAAACGTATCATCCATATGGTTACTCAGTCCTGTCATATTTCTCAAAGTAAGTACTAATGGTTACTGCTGTCTTTATGAGCATTTAATAAGTAATGTTCTATCCAAATGAAAACTGCCAGACTAGAATGTTTCTTGCCTTTGAACACTCAAAATAGGTTGAAATTTCAAGAGCTTTACATAATTATTCAAGTACAATCTTGGAAGAAAAATGAGCATAAAGAATCTGCCAAAGCAAATCTGTTTTGTTTTGTCTTGCTTTGTTTTGTTTTTCCCTCTAATATAGAAAGGATAGAAATACATGTAGACTCATGCATGCATAGAACCTATAAACAGTTTATGAGAACTGATCATATAACACATGATGAAATGAACAAATACTTAGAAGAAAAAGAGACACTATAGTACCCAGTGCTGACTCTGTAGCATCATGATGTGAAATCTAGCAATTCTTTGTTCAGAATGATTTTAGTCTGTTTTGCTTTGTTTAATTTCGACATACATGAAGGTATGGACAGTTATTTTGAAGAGAATGAGACACAGTATGACAGCCATTTTGACTTCTCTCTTGTCTGAACTTGAAGACCTAAAATGCCTTCCTCATCTCGTTCAGATCAGTTCTATACTATGTTGTTTTATGTGAATTCTCTGTATGTGAAGATATGGACAACGATTTGAAAGAAAACAAGAGACAGTGTGACAGACAGTGAAGATCTCTGATTGTCTTGCTTTGAAATTTATGTCTCTTACATTGCTTTCTTATGTTCTGTTTTGTTCTGTTTTGTTGTTTAATTTGACCCTCTTTAAAATAAAAAAATTTAAAAATGATATAAAATTTAAAAAACAGAATCTGCCAAGGCAAAAAAAAATCTGCAAATAAAAAAACTATTTTTCACAAAAGATTTTGTCCTTTTGGGCACTGAAAAATATGAAGTGAGGTTTCTTCTGTTGCATAGCAGTAAACTAAAGAACAAGGAAGAATCAAAATCTAGAGACCAAAAAGCATCTGGTGTGATTTAGTAAAAAATCAGATTACTTGTCAATTTGAGTATTTTGTTGTACCACCAATGTACTCGTTAGGGACAGTTTGTAAATGACTCACATGCTCTAAAACAAGCGGTAGAGACTTTTCAAAGACTATATAATAGTAGCCACATGTAACACTGGTGAGATCCACATGGCACCCAAGGAAAAAGATAGGATTGGAGAGTGGACAACTATATACACACGTATCTACAAATCTTGCGTAGTTTTCCCTTTCCTGTTAAATTACAGGTCTCATTTCTTCTTTGTGTGATAGTGAAAAATTATTTAAGAGATTGTCATAATTTTCTTTTCTCTGAACCAACGTATTTTGTACATTTTGAACTGATGAGATTCCAGTTGTGGACCTCCTAGGGCTTATGATTTCTGTGGATTTATATATGAGTCAAATAAATCCAATGGACCACACACAAAAAGTTAAAGTATGAATTCAGTTTTTAAATCTAACTTGCATGTGTAAATATCGTATGGTCTCCCTAGTGTAAAAAACTGAAAGATTAAATAAGATGCAAAATATATCATGGATATTGTGCAAATGAAAGAGTGCTCAAAAAGAAAGAACTGGGATAGGGGAAAATTGAAAAGAAACAAGAGAAGTATATATGTATACAAAAATATATATGTGCGTATATGTGTATATACAAGACAGATAACTACACTAATGTCTGTTCATTCATCAAAAAGAATAATTTGTGTTTTCATTGTTTGGCTGTTTGATCATTTTTTATTCCTAAATTTTGTAATTTGAAGAATTACTTTGAAAATAACAATATGCAATATATTAACTAGGGCTGATTTCTTGTTTTGTTTTGAAATTCTGTATCTATTTTATTCTTTTTTTGCTTTTAAAATAAAAAGGTTAATTATTTTATATATTCAACATTAGGGAGGAAAAGGATGAATTGTACAAATAAACACTGTCTCCACTGATGTCTTACCTAGAAATGAAAATCAATGGATCTACCCATGTCACAACTTCTCATCTGAAATAATATCCTTAAATATATTACCTAATCTAATAGTTCCGGGGAATGGGCCTACAGAATGGTATGCCCTTGACACGTTCATAATGTTATCCTGTGCTTCACAGGTCCTTAGACTTCAAGAGAGATGGACCTTCTGAGAGCTTTAAAACTTTGAAGAGCCAAGGGAACAGTAACCCACATAAGACCCAATTTCTTGTCCTTTTATTTCCGTGCCATTTATTATTTTTTCCAAACTGTTATAACTGCTTCACAAATAGACCAAAGAAATAAAGGCTGGTAGGTAAGTTACTACTAAGAATCCCTACACCAAATATCTACTTACCACCCATTCTAAGTCACAGATCTTTTAAAAATTTGAGAAAGTTAACAAATATATTCCTGTGAAAATGGATGGCATCCCCAGTGATCACCTTAAAAGGACAGAAGAACAAAACTTCTGCTCATAACTGTAATCAATTTAAATTACTGGGCAGAAGGTCTGACTTGTTTTTATCAGCTGTTATTTACGGTACTGGGGTGGTACATTAGAAACCATAAACAAAGAAGCAACTATAGAATTTGATGAATAGCTATACAGAAAGGACACTAGCTGGAGTGCAGCTGTGGCACACAATCCAATGCAAACTCAAGGGAGGACTCTGAACCACAGAAACAGCAATCTTCTGTATTTATTTATGACAGTGACACAAAGGGCCATGTGAAGGAGTGCAGAGGAAGGGAATAAAGAGGGATATTATAGCTTTCTGCTTAGTCATGTGGAACTTAACAACAGTGATGCTTCATTCTCAAATGCATTGTTACTGACTTCTTTGTTGCAAAAATACCAACAAGTACACTTACATAAGCTAAAATGACTAGGATGTCACTAGGCGATAGACTTTTAAGGGTCGCTATTACATGTGTGGTGCAACACCACATATTGTATATGTGGTGTGTCTCTGTATTTCCTATATTAAAAGTCCTGTTCCTCTAAGAGAGCTTATACAACTTCTAAGACCAAAAGTGGATTTAAGGGGGATAGAGTTTAACTCTATCCAAATATAACTGGCTAGTTTGTGGAATACCTATTCGCCATCTCTCCAAATCTCTGTCGACTTTCCTTGCTGAAACACCTGTCACTCAGTCTAAGTATTACCAAAATGTCTTTTCCCAGACTTCCATGCAGTGGAGGATTTGGTTTATGGCCTAATTCCAACCAATGGCAGGTAACACAAGGTCCTTCCCTGGGTTCCTGGGACAAGACTTCCTCCTCCCTGATATGCCAGAATTACTATTCTGTCTGTCTTTGAACACAGCAGTGTAAAGTCATGATTCTCAGGCTACCTCAACAATATGGGGATCCAGAGGGAAAGTCAAATAATTTACAGACATTGACTACTAAAGTGACCAAAACCAGGACAACCTACCTAAGGACTTCTTGCATACCCTGTTTTCACAAGCCATTTCTAGCCAGACATACTGTCCCTTGCAACTGAGAGCATCTTAACTAATATGGTTAACTCTAGTGACAGTGATCAAGTACTCAGTTCAGATAAGGACTGTCCCTTCCTTGTGACCTCTATTTTATTAAAAGCATTAAAAGTATCACAACAGAGAGGACCTGTAAAAACCTTTCCAAACCAATGGTTTTATCAGTCTACATATGAGGGACATGGAAATATGTGTACTTATTTGATGAATGAGAATGTCAAGAACATTATGCTTTGTTTTGCTTTATTTTTGGTACCAGGTATTGAACTCAGGACCTTGTGCTTGCCAGGCAGGCGCTGTATTGCTAAGCTCTATCCCCAGCCCTAAATGTGTGTGCACTTAATTAGAAGCAAAATAAACACCCAGATACATTATTCTGTAGAAGGCCTCATGCATCAGTTTAAAACAATCCATTATTCTAGATATATAAAATTTTTATATAGGTAAAGTAACAATGAATACATATAGCTGAATATACATAGATTTTTTGTTTGTTTGTTTTTTTCACTTTTATCAGTACCAGGGATCGAACTCACGACTGCCTAATCCCCAGCACTACATAGATTTTTAAAAATAAGGTAAATCAATGTGACCATATGGAAAGACTTGTAAGATGTATTATGTTAAAAAGTAGACTGCAAAAGGTGAATGAGTCATTTTTATAAAAATACAGATAGAAAAATGCTTTTAATACTTCTAGAAGAATATTGGAGAAACAACAGCAGTTACTCGAGTAAAGGTCAGATATTAGAGAAGAAAATAAGGATTTCCTTTAATCATTAATATCAATTTTATAAAAGGCACAAGGATTATATAAATAATTTTTAAAAACTGATTTTAAACAGCTGTTTTCAATCTGGCATATGAATAACAAACTCATAAAATAATTCTGAAACTAAGTAGTCCCCTGAAAATTTATCTTTTATAACATTCAAATTTCCCCTTTGTTTCAGATGGTTTTTCATTCTCTGTTGATCCTTTTCACTAAAAATCCCCTCTTCTTTAGCAAGTTGTTTCTGTTCTTAAAGTACTGACTTCTATTGTAAGCTGGCTTACCTTAATTGAGGGAGGAGTCACAGAATCAGCTTATTAACTATTACTGCCTATCCATTCCATAGAGATGGCGTTTCTTTCTTTATATTAGAGGCAGGGGACATCTCTTATTTTATTTGTGGGCTCCAGTTCACTGACATAATGATAAAATGCTACCTATTTATTTAAAGCAATAACTTGTGGATTTTAAAGTACGTAAGATACACTGCCGTACCAACCAATGACTTAAAATACATGCACTAACAGTAACACCATAAACTGCCTTGCACTGGAATTTATTTTCCATGCT